TGATCTTTAAGGTCCCTTCCAACCCTGACCTCTCTATGATCCTAACATACTCTAGTTTTCAGCACATATTTAAGCTATGTTACTCTTCTTTCACTAAAGTGGTTGCTTTGGTATAAACCTGTCAATTACTGTGCATTAGGCAACTGTGGCAGAGACATTCCAGCAAAAACCACCCATTTTTGGGAAAAGGCTTAAAATACATGTGCCATTAGGGTCATTTGGGAATGAAACAGTAGAAAGGCAATTGAATAGCTTACACGTAAGCTTGAAAGTGTTTCTTTGTCCCTTTATGCTCCAGTCTTATTAGAGAAGAAATATCAAGAACATGATTTAAGTTTGTATTCCACGGCACAAAAGTCTTTGCAGGGACAAAACTACAGTTATAGCTACCAGTAACAAGGCTAAAATCTTCAAATTGCCTTTTTTCTTGTCATGGCTGAATTTAAGTTTACTTTTTATGATAGTTATCCAGATTCTGGTAAAAGAAAAGAAAACAGGTCTCCAAAGATGACAGTTTAAAATTGATATCTCATAGATCAACACTTACAATTTCTTTGTGCTTTTTCACCTTGCCTTACAATGTATCTGTACTCATTAACTATTTCTTGAATGTCCATACATCTCTCGTAGTAGAGTTCAATTTGTTCCACTGTTTCTTTATCATGAAGAGGGTTAGAAATCTATAAAAAGGCAAATGATGGATAAATGGCATCTACAGTACCTGTTTTTGTCTGCACTTGGCTAGAAAGAAGTGTTGTAGGCAAATAACAAAAGAAACCAATTGTTTACTACAATCAGCTTATCTGGCACACCATGTTAATGTGCCAGGCACATTATGGTGATGTTGGCCACAACAGGCTATGACTTTAAACAGTCAGCTTAATCCAAGGATGAACTTCCAAAATTGACCAAGCCTATTTGACTTTTACACCAATTTCCACAAAACCATAAATTAATCAAGTGTGTTCAATACTGTACCATCAAAAACTCTGGGAAACAAAGCAATACTGAAAATAAGTCTGTCCTTAAATTTAGGAACATTGTTTTACATACTAACTTCTAGAAGTCATCTTTTAGCATTGTAACTAACATTCCTGGATTTCAACAGAAAATCACTTCTAGAAGTCATCTTTTAGCATTTGAAATGGTAACTAACATTCCTGGATTTCAACAGAAAATTATCATATTTTGGTTATATATTCCCAAGAACTATTATGCTTCATAGCAACTTTATCACTTGGTAAGAGCTTCAGTTAAAAAAAAAAAACAAAACAGCCATATCTGGCTGCTAATATTTAAACATCCCCAAAAGCTGCTTTTGTTTACCTGTTCTGTTTCCAACACATTGAGACGATAGTATTTCACGGGTCCAAAGAATGCTTCAATACCATTTACGTATCCACTGCCTCCAAGAACAAAGTATCCAGCAGTGTCATCGTAATAGAAATCTTCCCTGAAACTTGAGAGTATGAAAGAGAAGTAAGCTGGCTATCAAGAAGTACTATGAAAGAAAAAAAGAAATTTGTATCTCAGAATTCCCATAACTAACAGCCTTCAACTCACTGCCAATATCTTTTAATTTTGTCATCTGTTTGCTCTCAAAATCTACTCTTGAAATTTAGCGTGATAAATTCTGGAGTAAATTTAACAAACTCCTTTGTCTACAAACTTATAAAACCAGCAGGGTGTTTTATCTTCTGGTGTTTTATGGATCATTACACAACTTCAAAGATTTCAGTTCCAGCTCTCCTTTGCACTTTTCTAAAACTTGCATATAAAAATTTAAGTTATCTGCCTCCCAGAGCTACTACCTACACATTTACAATTTCTAGTTTGTAAACTATAGCAGAGAAGGAAAAACATTGAAGTCTGCCATGCAATTTATTGTTACATAGTTTCCATATTAAAAGTTGGGGTTTTTTTTAAACTATTTGCACAAGAAATAGTCAATCTTAAATTACAGGGA